AGCAAAACAATCCAACACAGTCCAGCAGTCCAAAATAGTAGTGGGTTATCCACAGAAGTTGTTGACTTGAGCCTTTCACAGCTCAGCATATTAATATGGCTTTACTTTATATACCTCGTTTTTATACTTTTCTGCTGGATGGTTAAGACCAAGATAAAGCAAGATCTGTATAACAGGAAATGTAACTTTGGTATGTGATAAGGTCAGTCAAGTATAACCCTGTACTGCAGTTTGTATATCCTTTGTGAGTGTCAGCCATGTGGATGAATCATGGCCATTGCTTGACCAATTTGCTCTCTGTGAAATCCTGACAGAATGTTTTCTCTCCAAGTGACTCTACTTAGGCACACTCTACATCATCAATCACGTTGCTCTGTGGCCCCATAATCTCCTTGATCAGAAAATTTGGGACACAACTGAGTTACATGATGTTATAGTATAAGTTCTCCTATGTCATGAATATTCATCTGGAGAGTTAACAACCTAAGTTTGCAGACCAAAAATTAGAGAAATAGAAGGGCTGCAAGGACAGCCAAAATTTGATCATAATTATTTCTTTTTTAGAAAGGAAAGACTTTCAGTAGAATAAGCACTTCCCTGGCAAGTGCAAGGACCTGAGTTCAATCCTTGGTTCTGAAAAAAAAAAAAAAAAAGGAAAGGCTAATGTAGCTCACAGTGAGTGGAGGTTTCATTCCATAATTAGCTGGCTCCAAGGCAGAGGAGCACATTTCAGAGGGCAGCAGTTCATGACTCCAGGAAACAACAAAGAGCAAGACCAAAAAGGGAGGAGCAGTGGTCGTGGCAGCTAACCAGTCTCACTCAATTCCTTACATGGCATGAAGGGTATCTGCCCCCGGCCATGTGGAACACTCACACCCATAATCACAGCAAGGGATCATGAATTAATCATGAACTACAGAAACTGTCCCACAACCATATGAGACTGTAGAGGGGCACTTAGATGTAAAACATATTGTGCCCCTGGCTCCCCAAAGACTCATGAGCATCCCTTTATGCAAAAGGTATTTTGGTCAATGTCTAAAGTTACTTTAATCCAACACTTTTTCTTTGGACTTATCAAGGGAATAAGGTAGCAAACAAATGTCTTTCCTGACTTCCTTCAGAAGCATTTAAACACATATAAAGTCCATTTAACTTCTGCTTAGCTGGGCCAGAAATCTATATAACTATAGATTGTTAGCAATATATAAACTGTAATTTTGAAAAGCTGCTTAATGCTGAGTGTGGAATGGCATTATTAACAGTGATAAATTCTTGAAGGTTGTTCCCTAGGGAGCTTTTTAATCATTCATTGGTTTTGTACACCACATTCTCATGAAGAAGGGTCAAGAATAATTTTCTCATGCCTCCAGTAGGAAAAAGAAAAGAACCCTCTTGTAATTACCCTAACTAACCTTTTGTATATTTATTTTTTTATACAAAGAGATTCATACCCATGTAAAAATACCTGGTTAGGGTTGTAACATGCATACTGAATGAGGTAGTTGCCCAACTTTAAATTTTTCTGTCCTTCTCCTATTGCCTAAAATGAAGAGAGCTAAGAAATGCTTTGAAAAGCATGACCCTGGGACACAGGTTCATAAAATCATTAAGATTTGATTCTGTGATTATATAATTCTTCCTCTACTGCAGATGCTAACACCATGAATGAGGTCTCGATATAACAATAATGAATAATCGGAAGAACTGCAAGATACATAACTTATTTAAGGAGCTGCTCATAGGAAGTCTCAGAGACAATAGGAACAATAAAACTGTTATCAGTGGAGAAATTTTACCTTTGTAATTCCAGAGCCTCAGCAAACAGGAAACACAAACCAAGAACTACAACAATTTACTCTCAGAAATTACCCTCACAAAAACCCAAAGAAATTACAAAACTGGCTTAAAAGAAAAGACAAAGTTAGCCTGAAGGAAAAAAAATCAAACATCAGAACTGGACTCATGTGACATAGATTGAGTAACTATAAATAATATAGGAATTTAGGTATGCGTAATGTGATGAGATTTTATTTGAAAAAACAGACAATTTTAAAGCAAAATGTAGAATCTAAACAGAGATACAAAAAATTATAAAAGAAACAAAAGAAAAGACTACAAGTCAAAAACACTGAAATAGTACTAAAGGATGTCTTTGGCTCGCTTTTTAGTTAAGTGGACATAGCCAAGTGCAAAATGGTTGAGCTTGAAGATTTGTCAACAATAGCTTCTCAAACTTAACTGAGAATAGCAGATAGAATGAAAACTGAAACAATATTTGGTGACTGGAGGATAATTATTAAAAAAAATAGAGCTGCGGGGGTAGCCCAGTGGTACTGTGCCTGCCTAGCAAGTGTGAGGCCCTGAGTTTGATTCCTGGCATCAAAAAGGGGAAAAATAAAATGTATGCTTAATGGTAATATTAGAGGAAAGACGGAAAGGGCAGTAAAGAGTGCTGTTAGTGAAATGTGCAGCCAGTATGTCACCAAGTGACAGCTGGTGGGCTGCCACAGGGGGGACGTCACCACCTCTTAGCTGTGGACTGCAGACTGCAGAGAATGAAACCTGAATCTGTGATAGACATGCAGAGCAGAGTGACACAGGGGAGACATAGGAAAGGGGAGACATGGGTGCCCAGGCTGGAGAGCAACTCAGCAATCCAGAACAGAGTGTAGGCATTCCCATAAAATTTCTCCCAAAACTGGAAAGTCCTGAGACAGCACTGGGCCCTGCCTATCACCCTTGGGAAGCACTAGATTCTGCAGGCAGGAATGAGCCTGATAGGTACTTGTGGGTAGAGACCAGGTGAGTGACACTGGACTGGTTGTCTGTTGGCAATATTTTAGAGAAGAAAAACCTAAGCAGAGATGAAATGGCAGCATCTGCAATATTTCCCTATACACACATGAATTGATTAAGGCAATTGGCTCCACAGATACCTGCAGTTACCTGCAGTGGATCATGCCCAGAGCACAGCTCACAACAGGAATATATACTTCGAGGGAGTAACAACCCTCATGGCTTAAGGTTAGCAATTGTCTGGTCCACAGTGGAAATCTCCATGGTTTCTCTTTTATTTTTATTTTTATTTATTTTTTTTATATATTTAGGAAAGGATCTACAGGGTGTTTAGGGTCACACTATGAGATCGCACTCGTAGTGATCCGCCTGTTTACAGCCTCCCAAGAGCTGGGATTACAGGCATGCGCCACTCGCCCAGTCTCAAAGTTGTCTCAGCATGCCCCGGCGGCGGGGCCAGCATGGCAGGACCAGGGGATCCAGACCCTGGCCCCTGCGTCTGCCTAAGAAGGTGCTTTAATCCACCGAGCTATTTGGCTAGCCCTCCATGGCTTCTATCAGTCAGACTCAGTGTCTCTCAAACTCCTCAGCACTGCTCCTTAAACTCAGCTTTGAAAACAATCCCAACAGAGTCTCACCTCCTATGTTTCATCCGTTGACATTTTCTCACCTCGCTTCCTCCGAGAATGCACTCTTCATTTTCCCCTTTCTGTCTCCTTCTTTTCATGCTCCACATCCCCAAGACAAACCACAAACAGCAGCATCACATGATCTGTTAGGGATATGTATAAAAGGCTGGAATTATAAAAGTAAGTTTTAAAGTTTATTTTTGATTTATGGCTGAATCTGTTGATTCTGCTATAACCAGTAGAGTTTTCCCCCTTATATCATAGTGACAGGACTCAAACCAAGTAAATTAAATAGATTGAAGTGGTAAACAGTATATCTTGACATGTTCAACAATACAAAACTAGAAAACAAAATCTAACCAAAGAGGCATCCATACCAATGGCAAGCTATTTAATCTCAACATATAGTACATACACAGAAAGAAAAAAAGGAGAGAACATAAAAAGACAACAAAATGCCTCCAAAGTCTGCCAGCTTTCCCAAATCAGACCCAAAGGACAATGATAGAGAGGAAAGCAAACACCAGAGAGTTGAGCTGTACAAAATTGTTAAAGAGGAAGAAAAAAGAGTAGTGAAGAACAATGAAAAAGTCATCTCAAATCACACATAAACCAAAGACAGTCTAACTATCAAGCGAAGTCATCATGGGAGAAGTAAAAAGAAATTAGAACAGCTGATCAAAACAGCCTAAGACATGAATGACAAATTTACCCAATAAATAGACTCCTCAAAAAGATGTCAAATAGAAATCCTGGAAATACGTAATTCCATTAAATTTATACAGAGAACAAATGACCGATGTAAGGTTTCAGAAATCAAGGGCAAAATGAAATCATGTGATGGTACTCTCAGGAAAACATTAAAAGTGATAAGAATGCAAGAAAAATTCATCTAATAGCCGATAGATGATGCTAAGAAGGCTTATTGGAGTTAGCCTAGGTAGCACCCATGAAATTAAAAATAAATATGTTTGTATAATCATAGCATAAATATTTCAACTTATGGGGAAATAACTCAACATGAAGGCAAAGGAGGTCTACAGGACACCAAATAACTACAATGAAAAAAAAGAAACTTGCCATAATAAATTATAGTTAAAAATCACGGAAATCTAGCACAGAGAGACAGCATATTAAAAGTTGTGAGAGGAAGCAATAAAACACTTACAATGGTAAACCAAGTAGGATTTTAGCATACTTTCTGCCACAAACCTGAAAGGCCAAGAGAGTTTGGATCAAGTGTTTCAATACTCCCTCTCCAGTAAAGCCAACATCGAATCCAGACTTACATAAATTGAAAAATGTCTATCAAAGTTGACAGAGAAATAAGAAAGTTCCACTGAAATGTGCACCTTAAAAAATTCAAGAACACGAAACCAGGACTCCAAAACAATACTCAACAATTGCTTAGATGGAGACAATGAGACCAACAAAGCCCCACACTCAGATGGAGTTAATACATCAAACAAGACACGTAGCTAAAGAAAAAGAAAAATAAAGGAGTCAACAATAATGACAGAAGTGCAATAAAAGTAACAAGTTAATACTTTTCACTAATAAATTTCAATGTAGATGATGTCAATTTCCCACTTGGAACTAGTTAGCAGACTACATCAAAAAACAGAACCTGATGGTCTCTTGCATTGAAGAGGCTTATGTAATCTCAAAAGAAATGCATAGACTTATTAAACAGAAACAGGAGATATAAATGAAGGACAATTTTGTATCTGTATATACAAAATAGTTAGGATAGATATATAGCCACTTTCTCTTAATTGAACAAGAGGAAAGATTTGCACTAATAGTGTCTGGACAGGATATCATGTCTGCATCTTGTGCTATGAATGACTACACAAAGACAACAGTATGCAATGTATTAATTGTTACTCTCCTACCAACCTGTTTTGCAACTCTTTGCAATGTTTTTCTCAATAAAATTAATTTAAAAATAAAAATAAAATTTAGTGTATCAATACTTAATGGAAAAAAAAAGAAATGCATAGACTGAAAAAGATTGAAAAAAAAGTATTCCATGCACCAGGACCCTGAAAGCAAGCAGAAGTAACAATTTTATTCTCAGACAAAGTTAAATTTAAGTTAAAAATGATTAGAGGAGGCACAGACAGACACTACCTATTAGTTAAGAGAACAAGTCAGCAAGTAGAGATAACAGTGTAAATATACATGCCTTTAATATTGACGTACATACCTTCATAAAACAAACACTCGTAGACATAAAAGAACAAATGGATATTAATACAGTCAGAGTGGATGACCTCAACACCCCACTTTCACAAAGGAACAGATCAGCTAAACAAAAATTAACAAGGAAATATCAGAATTGCACCACAACTTTTAGTAGATATCTACAGTTCCACCTTCCTGCAGCAGAACCCCTATTGTTCTGAGTATCACACAGAACTTTCTTCAAAACAAACCACACACTTGTTCAAAAGTCCTGCTTCTGTAAGTATAAAAGAGTCAAAATAATCCCAGATATACTGATCACAGCACACTAAACCTAGAATTAAATTGTAAAAGAAACTATAGAAAGTTTTCAAATATGTGAAAGTTAAGTAGCAGATTTTTTAACAATTTGTGGGCTACAGAAGAAATTTAAAGAATTCCCAAAGTCAAACAACAATACCAGTACAATATACCAGAACCCATAGGTTAAAATTAAAGCAGTCCTAGAAGTGAAGTAATTGCTGTGAAAACTACATCAGAAAAAGAGATCAAATAAATGAACTAATGATACACCTCAGGATACCACGAAAACAAGAATTGTACAAATGCAAGCCTAATAAGAAAAGGGAAATCATAAATATCCAAATAGAAATTAATGAGATTGCACTAAAAAAGAAAAAGCAAAGAATCAATGTATTGAAGAGTTGGTTCTTTGAAAAAATAAACCAAAGAGATAATCTATTTGGTAAGTTTCAAGCAAGCTTTCTAAAAGAAGGAAAGAAAAGACCTATATCCATGAAATAAGGAAAGAATAAGAAAAAGTCACAATGAATGCCACCAAAATCCACAAATCGTTAGTAACCATTATTGAATATTTTACAATAATCCCATGATTTATGAGCATTCAAGTTGTGAGCTTTCACAAGGATCATATATTCTGTCAGCCTTAGGAATGAATTCAATTTACACATGCTTTCCTAAAATGGAACTCATTCATAAATGAAACACTTATTGTAATCCAATTACTTTAAAACCCATAGTACAATAAGATGGAGAATTTATAACAAATGGATAACTTGTAGATGAACCAAAGAGACATAAAATCCCTGAATAATCCAGTAACAGGCAAAAAAAAACCCAATAATTTAAAAAAAAAACTGCCAAGAAAATTCCATAATCTGATGAACTCAATGCTGAATTGTTAAAGGGAAGAAAGATATCATGCCAATACTTCTCAATCTCTGTAAGAAAATGAAAAGAAGAATATTCCCAACTCAATCCTGGAAGCTACCTTTTCTGTGATCTCAAAACTAAATAAGAACCCAAACAAAAAAAGATAACTACAGGGTTTAATGAAGATAGATGCAAATATGCTAATCAAAATACTTCCAGGTATTATATAGGAAATCATCAAATAGATGATACAGCATGATCAATTAGGTCTCAGCTCAAGTGCATAATTATGGTTCAACATATACAGTCAAATCAACATAATACACCACATGACTGAAAGCAAAAATCAAAACCTCATGATCTTGTTAACAGGTACAGTCAAAGCTTTTGACAAAAATGCAACATTCTCACTGAGGACTCAGAATAAAACAGGTGGAATTTCTATTTTCAGTTTTGTGAGAAATTTCCATACTGTTTTCTATAGTGGTGGTGCTGGTTTACACTCCCACTAACTACGTGAGGAGAGTCCCTTTTCTCCAGCACCTCATCACTCTCTCCCACACAGAGGTAGATGGAAACCAGGCAAACTCAGCTACATTGCTTTGGAGATGGCTGGGCCATTTACTCACAAGATCCTTTAGCTTCCTTCATGTCTTGCTTCCAAATTAAAGAAATCTGAACCATTACTTCTTCCCTCAGTATAAATTCATTCTTTTCCTTCCTCTGACACCTGTGTCTTCACATATACTTCCAGTTACTAATGCATTTTTTTAGTTATTCATATTTTAAATATGAGTAGACAAAGCTAAAAGGAATGTATAAACACATATAAAAGAGTCAATTATTCCAGGTTGGCCAAAACTACATGGCCAATACATATTTTCCTTAATATCCAAGGCCACAGTATTTTTGCACTTGGGAAAATCACAGTAAACGCCACAAGGCTGCCTTCACTCCCTTTACTTTCTCAGAACAAGGTATCTGGGAGAGTGTGGGGGAAAGTTCAAACTTCACCTATTCCTGGAAACAGAGCTGAACTGCTAACAGGAAAGAGACAACAGCTGTGGTGATTCCCAGTCTTTGGCCAGAAAAGTCTCCTCCCCTTGGTGGGAAATCTCCTGGAATCCATGCCAAGCCCAGCACCAACACCCTCTCTGGATTATGAGTTCCCGTTAGTGACTTCAGGCCCCTCCTTCCGAAGCCCCTATAAAGGCTCAGGCTTTGCTGCTCTAGCAGTCATCAGATCCTTTCAAGAGGCAAGAGAGGTAAGTGGGAGCTGGAAGAAATAGACGAAATGGGGAAGGTGAGGAAATGCCCCATCTCAGAGGACACAGGAGCTGAGACTTAGCAGCGGCTGTCCTGGGAACTGTCATAAGATGTGGGGAATATAGATTTCTCAATTCCTTTCAAATTATACAAGGAGGTGGGTAGGGTCAAGGTCAACGCAGCCCTACAAAAGTAGACGCAGGGGAAGGAGAGAGGCAATGGTAACTCCGCATGCTCTCTCCCTGACCACTTCTCTTTCAGAGAATCTGATTTTCTCACCTCTCACAGACACGATGCTGCCCTCCACGGCTCTCAGAGGCACGGCTTGGGTGCTGCTCTCCTGCCTGATGGTCCTATCTCAGGTGCAAGGTGAGATTTCTCTGGTGCATGCTCAGAACCGAAAAGGGAACGGAGGGTCCTGTGTGTTCCCTGTGGTAATGGTGGAATGTCCTCCGCAAGAAAACTTCCTGAAATTCTCCCATTCTCCTGCTTTCTTCTGGCTATCAGCAGCGAATGCACCACAGTGATCCATTAACAGCAAGACCAGGCTCATGTCTGGTCATCTGAACAACTATTTTGTAGACAACCATATGCAATGTAACAACTATTGCTGAATTCCTATCATCATATTTTAAGAAATCCTGTATCATTTCTAATAATGATTCTCTTTAAAATAAACAAAAAAAACCAGTAGAACCTGACATGTCTCCTCTTGGTCAAGAACTTATAATTTGTATTAATGAGTTAAAGAAAGAGGGTGTGAAAAGCAAGTGATGAATTGTAGCTAAGAATGGGGATTGGAAACTCCAAGGTAGGAACTGTAAGCCCACGGTGAGAGGAATAGTGGTACTTTGAATTAGGGGAAAGGATAATATGAGAAGAGATGCTTCCCCATTTCAAATGTTTCTCAAAGAATGCAGGAAGCTACGATTACAGACTTAATGCCAACGATTGGCTTCATAATCATTCACTTATTCCTCTCTATTTCTTTTTTTTCCCTAGGTGAAGATTCCAAGGGTAAAAACGCTGCTCCACGCATCAGCTGTCCCAAAGGCTCCAATGCCTATGGGTCTCACTGCTATGCTGTGTTTAGGACAGCCAAGTCTTGGTTTGAGGCAGATGTAAGTACTCACTGGTGAAGTTGAGGCTGAAAGAGGAAAAGCCTTGTAGATGGAAGGGTGAAGAGTTATCCTGCCTCAGGTTCTCCTGGGAATGAGGATGGACACCTTGGTCCTCCAGACAGCCCCATCTTTTTCCACCACATGGCCCTGCTGAGCCCCCAGGAGACAGGTGCTCTCACTCACTCTCTCTCTCTCACTTCTCCACACAGCTTGCCTGCCAGAAGCGGCCCCAGGGACACCTGGCTTCTGTGCTCAGTGGAGCGGAGGGATCCTTTTTGTCTTCTCTGATCAAGAGCAATGGAATCAGCAGCACATATGTCTGGATTGGGCTCCACGACCCAACACTGGTGCGAGCCCATACTTTCTCCCTCAGCTCTCAACTGATTATTGTTGCTCAGTCTCTTTCTCTTGGGTCTGAGTAAGAAGACAGGTGGGAGTACTGACTCCAGATTCTGGGAGATATTGGAGACAAAGGATGGTCCTGGAGGTCAGGCGAACACCAGAGTTTTGTGGAGATTCCCAGCCTTCAAAAGAATCTGCTTGTTTTTAATCATATAATTCTCACATAATTCCTTTGAAATTATTTCTCTGTCCTTCAGGGAACCTTCCTTACCATTTCAAGGAAGTCATAAATGAAGATCTGATCCATATTTTCTCTTCATAGAATAGTTATTGCTTTGAGGTCAAGGGTTCACAACTAATACAGCACCACATACATTCAGCAGGAAGCACATTACTTTATGATAAATGCCTCAGATTTGCTAATAAGAGAGGGTATTTTAGGGAGAGAATCCCCTTAGGGTCCTCTGGGAATGATGTGGAGAAACAGACAAAATTCCACAAAGCCACAGAAAAGGTGGCACCTAAGGAATTGGGCCAGAGAAGCTGTCATGCCCATTGCCTTCATCTGGCTGCGTCCCTCTACCTTACAGGGTCTAGAACCCAATGCTGGTGGCTGGACATGGAGCAGCACCGACGTGCTTGACTACTTCAACTGGGAACGGAATCCTTCCATTTCCTCCGACCGTGGTTACTGTGGGACCGTGACACGAAACTCAGGCAAGAAACACAGGAGCAACCTCAGCTCAGCCTGCCCCATCCATCCCTCTTCCTTTTGGGTCTGAAATTCAAGAGAATTTCTTGAACTGAGAAATGCAGTGCTTGTTTATCTCTTTCCTTCCATCTCCTCCCATTTATACTTTGTGTCAGACTGGGTTCCCTCCAAGTGGGACACTTGTAAAGGTGAGCTACATGGGGCTGGCAAGATAGCTCAGTGGTCTAAAGTGCTGCTCATGCAAGATGAACCCCCCTCCCCTAGAAAAAAAAGACGAGTGACAGATTTTTTCCCTCTTGGCTCAGCTTCCCAAGAAGCTGGGAGTACAAACAAGTGTTTTTTATTCAATTTTTAATTTTTATTAGTACATATTTTCAATGCATAATGATTATATACCTTGAGGAGAGTTGGTACATGGACACAATACATCTCAGTTCTTTTGTCCTATCCTTTTTCTCCCTTCCCCCTTTCTCCTTCTGTCTCTCGGTCCTCTTTCCTTTCACAAAAGATCTATTTTCCTATTTCCTACCATCTATCTCCTATCTTACTCTTCATTTATATTTTGCTTTTCTTATATAAGAGGAAACATGCAATATTTAAGTGTGTTTCTCTGGTTGATTTCACTTAATATTTTGGTACTGTTCGCATAACCTACCAGTTCAATTCACTTCACCTGTTCTGTCTTTAGGATTTCTGAGGTGGAGAGATTATAACTGTGATGCGCAGTTGCCTTATGTCTGCAAGTTCGATGGCTAAAGTAGACAGTCAAAAGCCTCCATGGTATGCACCTCATCATGAACAGAAGCCCAAGAATGAAGACCTACCTGGGAAAGGAACATTCTCCTCATACCCCAAAATCTGAACCCTCCTGCTGAACTTACTGCTTCTGCTTTGCTCTCTGCCCAGCCACTCTTGTGTGTATGTTACAACCTGAGGCTTCAGAGAACAATAATAAAAGTTTAGTTTGTACTGATATTGTATCTACTGTGTGCCTGTGTTCTACTTTTACCTAAGTCCATATAGATTGGAAATTATTTAGGAAGGAAACTTCCTTCTTTTTATTTCTCCAAAACCTATGAGAAAATGCAGAATTATGCACTTGTGTTAGCATATTGAGATGGAGGTTTCAGGCATGCTTTTGTTAGGCTGTGTTTCAGACAAATGAAGGTACTGCTCACACAAACTCTCACTGCCCTCCCATTCCACCAGGTCATGTCACTAATGGTGATGTAGTCACTCATAAGAGGCTCTGAATTTGTTCTGCACATTGCTTTTTGGAGTGTTACACTAGGAGCATGGAAGAAGAGGGCTTCTCACCATATGTTTCCTTGCAAGAACATCAATTTGAACAACTGTGTTCATAAAAATAACCTTACAAGATCTCAGGAGTCTGAGTGGAAGATTTCACCACCTTTAAACATCAAAAACTAAGAATGGCTGTGTGAAGGTGTTAGGATGTAGAGTTTCACATTGTACATGTTGTCTTTTCCCTATACCTGGGCATCACAGAAGAGGGAGGAATTACCTTGTGTTTGGTTAAAGGAAGGTGATGAATCCCCACTCTATTCTGTCCCCAACAACAGAATCACTCCTATTAAACATGGTGGTAAGTAGGTTCCCATAGTCTCTATCAGGAAGCAGAAGAAAGTATTTTTATACCTGACTGCTGTCTTTGCTTCACTTCTTAGAGATCCAAATAAATCTCTCCCTCTTTCAAGAGTTGGTGCTGGATATTTTATCCTGGCAATGGAAAAGAGATTAATATTAGTACTTGTAGCAGAGTTCTTGCTCTCACTTTACCTAATCCCATGGCTCAGAACCCTGTATAGGGTCAGGGAGATAGCTTAGTGGTCTAAGCAACTGCCTAGCAAGCGTAGGGACCTGGATTCAATCCCCAGTATCACATGCCATTCTGGCCTTGCCCCAAGCCAGCCACTGAAACTGAGCATGGTGGTACATGTCTGTAATCCCAGAACTGGGGAGGCTGACACAGGAGGATCACTATGAGTCTGAGTTACAAAGTAAGGCCCTGTACCAAATAAATACATAAATAACCTTGTATAAGTGGTTTGCAGGAGGTGCTTAGAAAGTACTGAATTTATAGACAAGAGAAGCCCCAGAGTCTAGATGATTCTGATTAGAGTTGTGAAGACCAGATTGCTCATAGGAGCTCAGACTATAAATATCAGGCTCAGAACATTGCAGTTAGGAATTAGGGCTTCCTTGAGGCTGCATGTATTATTTGTAGTCAAAAAGTTTGTTGGCACTTCTGCCATGCTTTGAAACTTCGTGTGAGACTGAAATTAAGGGTAATGAACTAATTGCCCTGATGAAGTAAATTCCAAAGTAGCCCTAAACCCAGGCTCTGGTGTGGGTACTTCTGTCTGACAGGTGCTTAGATTTATCATGAGCATCAGTGCTCAAAAGTGGTAGTAAAAGATGTGAAAAATTTATGGTTCACCAGAAAGGAGGCGCCTGCAACACTGGGGCTAAGGCGATCATGACTGCTGAAAAGATTACCATTAGCAAGAAGTCAAGTAGTTTGCATCAGGACCATTGGAAAGCTATCTTGGGGATTTTTCAAGAAAGGACGAGACCCCCACTGTGGAAAAGTTCAAGTATGTGAAAGAGCAAATTTATTTGAAAGAACTTCCTTTGGGAAGGAAACCGTAGGACAGCTTTCTCACTCTGGACCACTAAGGCAGTGTATAGTTGAATTCAGCACTCCCAGTACTCAGAACACACTGCATCCATGTCCCATGGGGGTGGGCATTCACACTACTGCTCAAGCTGGAGGCAGGCCTTGTTGCTGTCCAAGTGGTGCAGGTTCTCCAAGCATACTGAAGGCAAAAGTTAGGGAGTTTCACAGGGTTTTAGCCAGATCTCATGACTGTGGGGCCGAGACAAAGAAGCTTGTTACTGTCACAGTTCCTTCCCAGACTCCCCAAGGGAGTAGTGCATGAAGGTGTGAGAATGACATGGTCTGAAAATGCAAGAACAGTGGAGATCCCAGGAAGCTGGACATGCTGGGAATGTGGAACATCTACTGAGAATGGCAGGGAGTCAGTGAAACCAACAACAACAAAAAACAAACAAAAGCAAACACAAACAGGCTTCAATTGGCAAGGCTAAAAGGGCCAGGCTGCCCAATACACTTGTCATTCATATCTCACCAGAATCAGCCCCAGATGCTGGACATGAAAGTAGAGGATTGGCAAGTCAAATGCTGGCAGGTTGCTGGGTTTTGATTTTGGTCTTGAATCGGTCTGATTCCTTTCTAAGCCCTTATTCTTTGCTTTTAGAGTGAAAAGATTTCCTGTGTGACACTGTGTGTTAGATGTATTTAACTTTATATTTCACTTTTACAGGGACGGACAACTAAAAGTTTGCCTTGAGTCTCCGAGGAGAATGTGGCATTGAGCTTTTTAGTACTGTTGAAGCTATTAAGAAGTTGACAAAATTAGACATTCACTAAAAACATTTTGCACAATGATATGGCTGGAACTTTCTTGGGAGGAAGAATATAATGCTGTGGTTTAGATCTTAAAAATTTTCTTGGAGTCTCATTTGTCCAGAGATAGGGCATATTGAGTGCACAGATCACAGAGGGCATCAGCTAAGCTCTAGTTTTGTCTCTGGTTGTTTCCTTTGCCCTCTACTTCCTAACCCCCAAGATTTGAACAACCTTCATCTACCATGACAAAACAAAAAGAACTTCTCACTAGGGAGATAGCTCAATGGCATAAGAGCCTGCCTGGCAAGGGCAAGGTCCTGAGTTCAATCCCTGTGCCCCCTTTCGCACAACAAAAAGAGTATCTGCTATGTTGTGTCTTTCTTTAAGGCTGCCAACCATGGAATTAATACACTGAAAAGTGCACCAAATTAATCCCTCCTCCATTTTCCATCTTAGATAAGAAAATTTAATTTTTTTATTTTTTCCATGATTTTATAGATAAACAAACAGCAACGAGACAGTTTCAAACCAAATTGGTAGGACAGTTTCAATAATTAACACATTTCATACATTCTTCCTAGTGTTATTTGCTGTACAAGATGCGGACATGATATCCTATTTACACACATTTTTAGTACAAATCCCTCTATTAATTAAGAGAATGTAACTATATATCTATTATAACCATTTTGAATACACAGAAACAAAATGGACATTCATCTGTATCCCCTTTTTGTGTTTAGTTCTGTTATTTGAATGCTATAGGTGTGTTAACTCAGCAAAATATTCTAAAAGAGTCCAGTAGTCCATAATAGTATTGGGTCTTCCGCTTCATTGGCAATGTCAGAAATTGTTGACCTGAGTCCCATGCAGCTCAACATAACAGCATGGCTTTACTTCTTATACTTCGTTTTTATATTTCTCTGCTGGATGGTTAAGACCAAGATAAAGCAAGACCTATGCAACAAGAGTTGTAGCATTTGGATCTGATAAGGTCAGTGAAATCCTCTCAGGATTTATCCTGAGATCCTGTATCTCAGACTGTAGATCTTTTGTCAGTGTCAGCCATGTAGATGAGTCACAGTCATTGCTTGCCCAGTATGCTCTCTGTGAAAGCCTGAGAGAATGTTTTTCTCCATGTGACTCTCCTTAGGCACACTCTACATCATCGATCACTTTCCTCTTTGGCCCCATAATCTCCTTGATCAGAAAATTTGGGACACTACTGAGTTACATGACGTTACAGTACAAGTTCTTATATGTCCTGAGTCTTAATTGACTTTGGAAGGCTAGGGCCAAAATGTGGGTTTTCCTTGCAGTCCTCCTTTTTCTCTAATTTTGGTGTGCAAACTTAGGATGTTAACCCTACAGAAGAGAAGCTTGTTCTTATTACCATACAACCTAGGCTATTAAGCTTAATCTCACCGTCTGAATACCAAACATCTTAAGCATAATATGGAACAAGTATTTTTCATCAAGTATTGATATGTTGAACTTTAATTCCCTACAGAATATGATGAAAAAACATTTAAAAATTAGAATGTATTTTAAAAATAGGCATAAAGAATTATATAATTCTTATGTTTACACATAAGTCTAAAAATCTAACTATATACAACCTTGAAGCCGGGCAGTCCTACAACATTCCTTTTCCTGTCTCCTGCCTTCATTCACCACCCCCTTCTTTTTGAACAATCATCTACCTGAGAGACAGCACAGCAGCAAC